TTATCGTGTGTGTTCCATGTTGTATATTCCACGGTATATGTTACATGTTATCTTGTATATGTAATACGCGAAATGTAATATGTACTATGTATCCTTGTGGGAACACACGCTTGGCTCAAAATGTAGCATATGTGAAATCACAGCACCGTCTTGCAAGAGTGTGCCAAAAGCAAACCAACGCTTGGCCTTTCAAGACGTTGCAGTTTGGTGTTTTGGGCCTTGGAAGCAGCACGATGGAGCCAATTTCGGAGCTTTAATCAAGATTTCCACTATCGGCCATCCTTCAGCGGCACAGCCATGCCGGGCCACGGCCACAATCTTTCAGGGCATTTATTCTCAGAAGCAGAGGACGAAGTTCACTGTCGGTGCTCGCAGCATGATTCAACTGCGTTGGCCACAGGTTTGTCATAGGGCAAACTATTTTATCCCAGCCCATGGTTTGGAAAATCCTGTTCTCACAACATGGCCATAATTTTTTTGCGAATCCCCCCATGTTTGGACGAAAGCAGATGATCTCTTTTGAACGGATATATCTCATATGATGCCATCATGTCCCGGTGATATCGCCATGATATCCCAGTTGCAGGACGATGACTCACTACCATCCGCTGCAGATCGCGTTGGAAGGGCGGAGCGCATTGTGCCTCGGTGGACCCCATGACTAGGAAACCTCCATTTTTTGTTGGGTTAATCATGTTAATTGGAGCATTGAGGACCGTTTGATTGTTCGAACATGTTGGAACATGATGATAAACCGACTTGGTGACGGGGAAATTTTGGAAACACGTTTCGAGACCATGGATGGAACTGATGAACTGTTCCCCAGTCGCAATGTTATGTTGTCACACGCCTTCAACAAGGGTATATACACCGCCATGCAACGTAAAAGTGACATCATGTGCAGGATGCTTGCGTGTTTGCCAACACTTAACTGAACCTGCCTTGAATTTCCAAATGCCAGATCAATACATCAATACATGACAATGACATTCTGGCCACCAAACCGGCCCCTAGGGACCGTCATTCTTCGAGAAAACCTAGAAGAAATTCCACTGATTCAGAGCTGTGGTGGTTTGAAAACCGCTTCAGAATGGCGTTTCTCAGGGCAAGAAGGAAACTCCGACCTTCGGATGGAAGATGAGGCACCTGACCTGTTTTACAGCTACGTTTGATCCAATGGATCAAGATCTAGTGATTGGAACCAGTGTTTTTTAGTGGAGCCAGGTTTCTTTTCTCATGTTTTCTAGAATCACTATTGTTATATTTGGTACCAGGTTTTACAAGTGATATCCCAGACATTGTTCATAGTTTCCACAGCTGTGACGTTCATTGAATGGATATCTTTTCAAGAATGATTTAGACTAAACGGCCCTAGGATATGCCAAGGTTTTCGACTTGATGTCCTCAGGATACGGGACCTCAAAATGAGCTATCTTGGAGGCGTGGAGCCTGTGTTGGTTGGGTGCTTCAGGATTTTTCAGCGTCCGACATACAGGGGTGATCAGAAATGACTTTTGAGTAGACTCGATGTTCTCCGGGCACACCTTTCTGGAGTTTGAACACCTTTGAAGACGGGGTAGATCGGAATGCCCAATCAACATGAATCAACGTCAATGAAAATCCATTGGTTAAGCATCATTTCCCCATTACAAATAGATTCTTGGTTACATCCCCATGATATTTCCATTGATCCACATGATATTTACATGATATCCCCATTATATCACCATTAATCCACCCAACATTGTAACATGCCGCTTTCTTCAGAGACCGGGTGAACCTTTCATTCGCGAAAGGTTCACCTTCGCCTCCAGCTTCTCGACGTGGCCATCCGAAGCTTTTTTTTTTTTTTAACACATGTTCATGACATGTTCATGAAAGACAATGAGGTGACTGATTTTGGGTTTCACATGCGCAATAAGGAGACTTACCATTTTTGAAGCAAGTGTTGGAGTTTGGACTTTGCCATCCTTCGTGGAACATTTTTACATTCTCACACCAGGGAAAAAAGGACACACTTCCAAGATTTTGTCAGCTTATCAATTCTCAAGCTTTGATAAACCTTTGCAATGGCATGGCAGCGGAGTTTCCAGTTTCGTCAATGTTTTATGGTAGAGTCGTAGAGATTCGCAGATTTGCTTTCCCAGAATGCATCCCTCTGGCATGTTTTGCCGCCTAGGCCGAAAGCATAAGCATGCAGATAGAGAGAGTCAGAAGTGACGATCAAAACTCGATCCAAACATCGCAGGCTGGAGAAATTTCACTATGCTTCACTTATACACGTGCTGCTTACAATGTTTCTATCTCATCTCCTTTAACAACGACGATGATGATGATGATGATGATGATGAGGATGACAATGATCTCGACGGCGATAACGGTGACGGGTGACGGTGATTCTGACGCTGACGCTGACGAAGATGATGCTGATGATGAAGAAGAAAAATAAGAATAACAAGAAAAAGAATAATAAGAATAATAAGGAGAAGAAGAAGACGAAGAAGAAAAATAAGAAGATAAAAAAGAAGAAGAATTAGAAGAAGAAGACGAAGAAGAAGAACAAGAAGAAGAAGAAGAAGAAGAAGAATAAGAAGAAGAACAAGAAGAGAAGAAACATAATAAGAAGAAGGAATAATACTATGAAAAAAAAGAATAATACGATGACGATGACGATGAGGACGGCGATGATGATGATGAGGAGGAGGATGATGATGATGATGACGACGATGACGATGACGATGACGATGACGATGATGGTGATGATGATGATGATGATGATGACGACGATGACGATGACGATGAGGAGGAGGAGGAGGACGACGACGACGACGACGATGACGATGATGATGGCGATGACCATGACGATGACGATGACGATGACGACGGCGATAACGGTGACGCTGACGCTGCTGATGATGATGATGATGAAGAAGAAGAAAAAAAGAAGAACAATAAGAAGAAACAGAAGAAGAAGGAGAAGAAGAAGAAGACGAAGAAAAGAAACACATAATGATAATAAGAAGAAAAAGAACAAGAAGACGAAGACGAAGACGATGACGATGACGATTTCAACGGGGACGGCGATGAGGTTGATGATGATGGTGATGGTGACGGCGACGACGACGCCGGGAGGGGAAACGGAGATCTCAAAGATGTTGCTGCTTGCTCTTACGTGATTGACTCTGTGGCTGAAGGTGGACGAAACGCCCTCTTCTGCGCGTGCCACGAAGGCGTTGCGATTTGGAGCACTTTGGCTGCGTTGACTGCAGTTGAGCA